CAGATACCTGTCTTCCCATAACAAAATGCAGAACCATCCGAACCCTGTCGTTCTCGTTTCAAACCTTGCTTCCTCCTCGATCCCTGATAACCCTCCGAAGTGTCTGAAAAGAAGGAGGCCTCGAGATCTTCTTGTGTAAATTTATTATTTGAGTGCTATCAGTGGGTAGTTTCTCAACAAAAGATTTCATGTTATTATATTCCTGAGTGCACATTTACTAGTTGTATTTTTTTTTTTTTTATAATACAGTTGTAAATATCAATAAATAAAAAATAAATAAAATATTTTGTTTTGTTTCATTTCTCAGCTGCTTTGTCACATTACAGGTGACTGGTTTTATACAAATGTATTTTTACAAAAATAAATTAATAAAAAAAAAAACAGTCAAAAAAGGAATAAAAGAAAATGTTAAAACAGAGCGGTAAGCCTACAGGTGCTCGTTTGCTCCGCTAGGCAGCGCTACTCCCAGTATTTATACATCCCCTAAATTCCCTTCAGTTTCGCCCCCTCTTACTCATAATATTCCCTCCCTCTTTTAAAAGATCTGTATTCAGTTAAAAAAGAAAGAGATAAAAAAAAAATGATGGAAGTAAAAAAAAAATGTCTGTTTAAGTATGGCTTCGGAAACGATTCCCTCTCTACGTGTTTAATTTGTAACCCGAACCATCTCGAAACCCCCTCCCTCCTTTCCCTAATTTATCATTAAACTTTCCAAAGCATATTTATAAAGTAAGAGCGGGAAAATTTCTCACTAACGAGGTTCTTAATTTGAATTATTCACTTTGTTATCTGATACTAATATTGTGGATGAAAATATGTGCCCAAGTTCTATTAGCCTATAAAACTAAATCATATTCCTAATAAATAAGAGATAATAGCCCTCTGGAGGTTATTAATAGGTTTTTTTATTTATTTTAATGATGGCTAATTAACTTGTTGCCGTGGGGTGTTAGTACTTTTAGGGAGAATTATAACGGGAGGGGGGAGGCCGTTATCAAGGCCATTATTCCAACGTCCAGTTAAGATATATCTGAGAAAGAGTTATTTGAAACAGAATTGCATGGACGATACCATTTTTCATGATAATGAAGCTATAGAATATTGTCTACTAGTTCCCTTTCGCTACTCCAACATAGTGCCCGATTTCAAGATCAAATAGATCACGCTATTCCTAGATTCGCGATAAATACCGAAAGTAGTCGAGTATTGACTATATATTCATATTCAAATATACCTTCTGCCAAAATATAAGTTTATGTAAGCCAATTTGAATTGCAATACGATATGCTGATTGCAATACATAATTAAAATTAAATTAATTAAGATAAATTACTACATAAATTGTGGCCAAAGGTGATTCCACGCTCATGTCGATCTACTTTTAAGTTTTACCGTTTTTCCTATATAACCTCGTTATTTTGAAATTTTGATCACGCCAAACGGTTCAATATTTTTGAAGGCCAGCTTTTTTCTCGATGTTGTGATCAAATAATCTTACGATCCAAGTACAAAGCAAATGAGCATTTACGAGTTTTTAATACCTAATTAAATAGACAAAGTTTGCCCCTCTCCAGATTGAAAATACCCCAATTCCAAGAGTTTCCGTAAATAAAATAGTCGTAGGTTACAATGGGATGAAATTATTTATGAACTTTCAGGCGGATGTTAATAACTAGATAAAAAGGGGTCTGTACCACGTTACAGAATTTACGTTTCATTTAACTGAAAAACATACGCCTGAAATTTTTGTATGATGTAAAGAATGTTACTCTAAAAGAGAATTCACCTTGACTGACGATGTTGGCGGTTGCGTTTTAAAAACTTACGGCCCCAAAGTCATCAAATTAGGCCAGTCAAATGGTACTTGGATGTGGAAAAATTCAAATAGTCGGTGTATTTTCGATTTTTTTTTTTTATATTGAATGTGACTATTTAGGAAATTTCAGGCGGATATTAATAATTCGATAAAAATGAGTCTGTAAAAACGGACTATTAAATTATATAAAAAGCACCAGCTTTCAACCGAGTGACCAAATTTGTGTGTTCAGATAAGGTTTATCTAGAGTTTAAAATTATTTTAGCAGCAAGTCCTTGAGTAAAATGAAAACGTTAGCTCCTAATCTATCGCTTAAATAAGGAAACATAAAAATATATTATCGATAACTGCCAGTCGATATTATCAAAATTATCGATAGTTAAAGCTACAAAACCCGAGGAACTTGCTGAGCAGGGATATTACCATATCGGGAGGGATTTCTTCAATCGGAGACGAAGGGAGACTACCACCTTCCCTCAGAGAAGTAGCTGAGCCCTTTTAGCCCTTAATTAATATTTATTCTGCACTTTAGTTTGTTAAACAGCTCCATTTGAATAAGAGCGAGTAGTCGAAAAGGAGTCCTTAAGAGTGCTTTTAACTCCTCGGATAAGGGGCTCAGGAGTTAAATCAGATAAAGAATGCATTTAGCCTCTCAAAATCAAGGAAAGGATTGTTTTTTAAAACGTGCCTTAGTAAGGCTTAATATCGGCTCTGTAATCCAATAGCTGGGGGGCGGCCACTACTAAAAGCAGACTTAGCCAGGTTTTAGCTTAAGAAGATTGCAAGAGTTTATATTTGAATAAACAGTAGAAGTTATCGGCCCTACACCGATTTCACGGAGTGTAAAGATGTTTATATAAAAAAAGTAAAATTTCATTAATTAACCTTAATAATTACTTTAATGAATCTTTTTTTATTTGAAATTGCGTTAGTGTTAATATTTTTGAAATTACAAGGTTTTCTCATTCAGAAACATACTCAAAAGTTTCATCAGGAATTTACCAGCATACTTCTTTTTTTGTTTTTGCTGGGAAGCTGTATGATACAGCAATTGATTTATTTGTTGAATTTACATGTTAACGTTTCGGGAAATTTACTCCCGGCTTCAGAACTTACAATTCCATGTTTTCTAATCGATTTATGGCTAAAAAGGAGTTAATTAAAAAATAATGCATGTTACAATATATGTTAGAGTGGCGTTGTTACATTAATTTTGTAATTACCTTAAGTGTGATGTGCTCCATTGTAATGTTTTAAATTTATGTTATAGACAGATTACAGTATATAATATCCAGAGCATCTTCATTCCTGTAGTAAATTAAAAATAAATAATCATTTCCAAAGGTGAATAGTATCTCCCATAACAGACACCCAATTATTGATCTACACTTTTAGACTTTTAGCCATGAAGAGATGGGATTGTAAGTTCTGAAGATGGGAGTAAATTTTCTGAAACGTTAACATGTAAATTCAACAAATAAATCGATTGTTACTTTTGATAAATCACTGGTGTGAAGCAATGGAGAATTGAGAGTTTATCTCACTGCCCCAAAAATTTAAATAACTATAACAATATGTAATATATTAAATTTCTTTGTTAACTTATTTTTAAATTTATCCTTACGCAAAAAAATCGTTATTTATACATATAGTATCATATTGTTCGTTTTACAATAATTATGTTGATTTTGCTAAGTACCACTCATAATTTGTATACATAACCTAAATTCCTGAGACTTTTTCTTTTTGGTGGTGAGAGGGTTCCATTGACCCTCAACCAGAATGAAAAGTCTACGCCCATGTCTAAAAGAGTATTGTGATCGTGGTGAACGATCCCTGAATCCAATTAACAGAATCTCAAAAAAATGTCTGTGTGTTATATGAGCATTTTTTTCTAAAAACAGAAAGGTCGTACGAAACTGAAAATAAAAGTAGATGTATGAATATTATAGCAACTATTTCATGAAAATCGATTAACCAGAAATAGTGCTTTATACTATCGATTATTTACAGTTTACAATATTCTGGAAAACGATTCTAACAATTTTTATGGCAATAAAAATTATGAAATCGTCATATTGGTATAAAATTGAGTGATCTTTAGACATGGGTGTATAATTGACCGTTGAAAATTATGAGGATGAAATGTAGTCAGGATGTGCTGCCAAAAATTTGCTTATTGAATTTGTCGACGTTTCGACCCAAACATATGGGTCATCAGCAGAGCTAAAAACTAGAATAAAATATAACATCAGAAAAGTAATAAATATACAACAGAAAAAATACAGAAGAAAAAGGTGTGATACAAATCAAATAATTTGTAACAAAAGTCAAAATTTGTATCACAAATACAAATAATTTGTACGTTCTACCTTTTTATTCTCTTATACTTTTGTATTTATTATTTTTCTGATGATTTTTTTTTTTAATTTTAGCCTTGATGATCACCCATATGTTTGGGTTGAAAAGTCGGCAAACTCTATAAACAATCTTTAAATATACACCCTGACCATTTTTCATCCTTTGAATGATCTTTAATAATATGCATTAATAATCTTAGTAGTCTGAATTGGCTAAGATGTCAGATTTTCAAAATTTCTTCCTTTATTAATAATTAAAATTACCTTCAATTTTTTCTGCTAGACATAATGAAAGTACTCTCATTGTTAGTAAATAAAATCTCGGTTTAACAGCTTAATGTTTCCAAAAAAACTGTTTACAACTTTAAATAACAACATTAAGTTAGATTATATAAGCTACAATAGTTCAATTTTAACGCATGTATACATGTGTCAAATCATCGTTGGTCGGAGTTTAATTTTCTGAACGGTTCTGTTGTAATAAAACTTCGCATAAACTTGGTAAAAAATCTCGATTTAAAGTCGGTATTGAAAAATTGCAACCCAAAAAAAAAAAAATTAAAAGAAAAAATGGGAAAAAATAACCATACAATCAAATTTTTAATAAATTTTCTTTTATCTTTCTCAAGCTATGTAATAAAATACAAGGCTTAGGCGAACTAAAAATTCATTAGGCGAGCTGTACACCACTTTTTTACTCCTGCTGTCTCGTGACTTCCCTGTCTTCATGGAACTTATGAAACCCGATAAGGAAGAGGCTCTGGAGTACGTTGAAACCCCGAGGGAACTGGATTCTTTTAAATTCAGAAAAATTATTAGGTCGGATGGTGCTCCCCGGACGACGACATTTCCCGCGGGAACGAGGACTTAAGAGGAAGCGGGTAATGGTATTCTTGAACCCCTGGCACCCCCCTAAATCGGGAGGCGCGGGTGAGCTGACGTTTCTATTTGCTCGCGGAGGTAGGCTGCATTCCTAACCGCGGAGGGAGGGGGTAAATCAAAAAGTGTTGTAACTAACGGCTTCGGGGCAAGCGGTCCCGAGGGAACTGGGATAAACGGATTCTGAGGAAATAACACCAGAAAATTATGGAAGTTGGATGTAGGTAGAGTCAAAAGATAGTAACAAGAAAATGGTCAAAGATCATGGATATATTTACTGATTCATTTACGTGTATATATTATACATACAATCAATGTAGTGGATGATTCGAAATTGAACATAAATACTTTTTAATTTTTAAAATAATTTGTTATTTATAAAGGAATTTTAATTTTTTATTAAAATTAAAATAATATATTTTATTAATCATACTTCAACATTATTTGAAATCACAAATCAGGCGAGAGTGGAAGGAAGAGGGATAAGAGAAATACCTCAAGTCAGCCAAGTCAGAGAAGCTTTCGATAGGAGAGGAATTGATTGGAAGAGACGCAGTCAGCTGGTGCTAGATTGCGAGGATCTACCAATAGGATTCTCAACACTGATTAACCGAAGAAGAGGACTAGATTGAGAAGAAAAAGAGTTTTTTTTTTTTAATAAACAAGTGCAGAAGTTTGGTAAACAAGTTATTTAATAAAAATATTGACTACAGAAATAAAGCCGTCCTCCATAAGGGAATATACTTGCCTAACCTATTTTTTTACTCTTTTTTTAATAAACTTTAAGAAACTCTCCATCCTAATTCTTTTTGACTTTGCCAAGGCGTTTGATTCCGTTAATTATGAGATCCTTCTTTCCAAACTCCAAAGCCTGCCCATGTCAAATAGCGTCCTAAAATGGTTCCTATCCTTCTTATCCAATCGATCTCACACAGTTACAATACCGAATAAACCTCCATCATCACCCCTTCAATTAACGCGAGGTGTTCCTCAGGGTTACTCACTCTCCCCGACCCTTTTCTCCATCTATATTAGTGACCTTCCTAACGCCATTCAACACTCCAATTACCACCTATATGCCGATGATTTCCAAATATACCAATCGTTCCAACCTTCTGAGATGCCTGAGGCTGCCATCCATTTTTTCCCTACAGTCAAAAACCTAGAAGTAACCTTTGACCAGAACCTCTCCTGGGATAATCATATCTCCCAGATTACCCGAAAATCCATAACTGCCCTTAAACAACTCCTAAGATTCCGTGATTGTATTCCTCTAAAAACCAGACAGCTCCTTGTAACCTCCCTTGTATTCCCCCACTTCGACTACAGCTGCTTGGTATATGGAGGGCTATCTGCCAGGCTGGAAATGAGACTAAAAAGACTCATGAATGCTTCATAAGATTCATTTTTGGGATCCCCAGACGTTCACATGTTTCACTATGGTACACTGAGTTGAAGTGGCTTTATCCTACTTCCCGACGACAATTCCTTCTTGGCGTTTTTCTTTTCCAAGTCTTCAGAACTAAAAACCCTCCCTACATCCTGGAACTCCTTACTCTGCGCTCCTCTATCCACTCTCTTAATACTAGGTCTCAACCTATAGACTTCCTTCGTCATCGCAAATCCTTCGTCATTCGTGCTGCTTCCTTATGGAACTCACTTCCTACCCCTATGCTTCAATCCTCATCCACAAATTCCTTCAAACAACTCCTGTTCCAACACCTACTCCACATTCAAACTTCCCCTAACATGTAAAATTACTTGCATCTATACAATGTTTAATTTCAATCCATTGCACAATTGAAATAACAATTAACAATAAATTAGTTGGTATTTTTATTATGTCAGACTAAGATACATAAATTTGTAACTCTGTTATTATTCTTAGGGGACAGTAGTCCCAGAATAAAATTATTTTTTCATTTCATTTTCATTTCATTTCATTTCATTTTCATATATAAAATAAACAGAATCAAAATAATCACTAAACAATAATCCAAAAGATTACATAATATGGAAAAATAAAATAAAAAAATACAATATTTACCGTATACAATAATTACAATCATGCGAGGGAACTCCGAAGCAGGCTTGCCCCTCCAACTATGGAGGGAAAATTAGGTCTCCAAGGGACCCTTGAGCTACTCTCTCAACCACATCACTGGTCCTAAAGTCAGTGGTGATTAAGAGAGAGCCCTTTGGCCACAGTAACCTATATTTTAAGTGGAGAATCTGGCCATTGCCAGAACTCCAATACATACAAACTACAAAAGGTCATGGACCACTGCCGTTTTAATCTTCTTGGAGATTTATAGGGATGGGTGGTGCTAGATAGGGATCGTGCAAGGGGATTTAGATGACCCACAAGGTTCTGGTGAAATTTGGAGAATTTCACAGTGATAAAGTCGAGGAAAAATGGGATGTTGAGGTCATGGCGTATGGTTTTGCTGGTTACGTAGCATCGACTATTGTTCGAAGGACTTTGGACTGAATGGATTGGATGCGTTTGATGAAAATTTTGCTGCCCTCCTCCAACAGTTCTAGTCCTTAAGTCCAAATAGGTTTCAGGAGTCTCTTGTAGATTAGAGTCATTTTTTGTCAATTGGAATTTGAGATTGTTTGTCAGTAATGTTTATTTATTTATTACTCCCTTCCTTGCCTTTCGGCTACACGGGATTTTGCAGGGATGGCGTATCACAACGTGTATGTCATTCCTGGCTATTAAACGACAAGTACTTTAACAATTACATTTTGTTTTCAAGACTCTTCTTTTTCTAACATTTTCTTCTCACCGTATCAGTTTGGCGGCCTTCTATTAGCAGGTTCTCTTCTTCCCAGATTAAAGTGTGAGGGCCCCAGAACAGATTTCCACCCATACACAAAATCTTTGTAATACGGGTTGTTCTGCTCCGCCACTAACTGGGGAAATTCATCCTCCGTGAGGCCATAGACTCCAATTTTTTCCATCATTCTGGCCCGTAGTCCACCAAAAACGGTGCAGTTTTTAATTTTTGCATGTGTTTTAATTTTCTTATTTTTAAGTTATTTTATTTTATTTATTGTGTATACTTTTTGATGAATGTTATTCTGCTTCTATTTATTTTATATATTTTTGTACATATAGTGTGAATGTTATCCTACCTCACTATAACTAATATCCAATTACAGATTGTTGTAATTGTAGTTGTTGAAAATCGGATAAGAAAATATGATTTTTTAAATTATTATTTACATGTGAGCAAACCACTCCTGTAGTTTATCCGGTTCCTTCCGACTCACCATATATGTTACAAAAACTCCATCTTTTTCCGACTTTAACCTCATCGAACATTGCATACGCAAACTCAAAGAGACAACAAATTGATACGAAAGAAGAAAGACCTCCCCATTGGAAAGACCCTTAGACCCCCGGTAAAGATAAACAGGGGTCCGAGACCCTTTGCCGCTTCTTTCCGTCCCTAATTGTGCAGAGGCTGGAGCTGTGGCCTCCTCCAATCAGAGCCTTTGTCCTCGGGATTGACCGGGCTGCCTGTGGCATCGTCCCTTCCGCCCGATTTGATCCTCTTAAACGAGGACTTTACACGCATCCAGCTTCTTTTCTCTCAGGCCTTTGTGTCGGAATCTGATACGGAATATAGATAGTCGTCGGAATCTGAGGATATGAAAGAAAAAGAATATAGAATCGATCGATCTTAGTTTATGAAGTTTAAAATAAAAGTGAATAAAATGAAAACATTTTTTTTATTTATTAATAATTTTTTTTTCAATATAGTAAAGAATTTCGGATGAACTAACATTGGTCGAAGAATATTTAATGAGGTTGCATAAAATACGTAATATGCGAATTGGGTCGCAACTGTTTTTACTTTCACTTACGTATATATGTAATACATAGTAAGGGTAAGTTTTCGAGAAATTTTTTAAATCTGAGTTTTCAACGGAAATACACGTTTTGAGGTACCCTGAGTCGAAATGACCAAGTCCCGAAAAATGGTCTGTGTGTTTGTATGTTAGCAGTCTAACTCAAAAACGAAAAGTCATAACTGATATTGCGTATATAAGATAGGTATATGCCTTGATGTGACAGCAACTTTTTCCTCAAAATTGGCTAACCGGAAATGCCACTTTACATCAACGCTGAAACACATTTTTATAATTTTCTCAAAAACGGCTCTAACGATTTTGATTAAACTCGGTGTATCATTGTACAATTAAGAGGTCTTTAATATCAATTAGGTCTTATCCCCATTGATGTCAATTTACAGGGCTTAAATGCCCAATGTTCATATACGTATTTCTCTAAAGTAGCTTTAATAAGGTTTATTTTAAAAAGTTAATCATTTCACATTAATAAGATCTACAAAAAACTGCTAAATATAACTTTTGAAAGAATTTGATAAGTTAATAAAGGAGGAAAAAATAAAAATGCAGAAAAACATGCGTTGCTGTAGACTGCAGCACCTAAACGAATGTACCGATTTCAACTTCGCTAAAGTCATTTTCTCGGCACCCTTTAAATTTATCTATATAACATACTTCAACGAAAAGAAGGTGGAAAAAAAGTTACATGGTAAAGTTAAATTCCGAATAACCCAAAAAGCATACACTTTTTTGTCGATATTGTGATAAGATGTTTGAAAGGTATTTAAATTTCCTAAAATATGAAAGAAATTTCATCGAAATAGAAGCACTATTAGTAGAGATATCGCGATTTTAAAATATTTTTTCTAACAGTACTTGAACCAAAGCCTAAAAAAAGGTACTCATTTAAGATTGGGCTAGAATATGAAATACGAAAGTATAAGTTAATCTAAGTAAAATAATCATTTTCTGCCATTCCAGACCCGTTGCTTTAAAAAATGGCAGCTGATTTAAAATATTTTAGGCCAGAAACTACAGGATCGAAACAGGGATTATGTTGGAAAAACGAGGAATGATTTTTTTTTTTGTCCTATAATAGTAGTTATAATAATAATTATTATTGTTAGGTCTCTCAATAGGCATTATAAATGAAACACAGAAAGCTGCGCTACTGAATACTGCGTGAATTGTAGGAAGCTTCCTTAATATAAAATAGTTTTATAAACACAATCTGACTTGATGTGATTGAAGTTTACTGTATTACACTAGGAGGAAATGAAAATACCTTTTATTAAAAGAGTTAAAAACAAATAAATAAATAATAATGATTATAAGGCTAAGCGAACTCTAAGGTTCGATGCCGATATCACTAATCGATGCCTATTCTTCTATACAGCGGGCGTCATCCAAACCCACCTCCACCAGATCAGACTTAACCCAATCTTCCCACCTTTGCATGCAACTCCGCACAGCTCACATTAACTTTTTCGGAATTCTTCGTTTCCAAATCCATCTATTTCCAGAGGAGGGGTCTTCCCTGGAATGTGATAAAAATTTGATCTTGATATAATTAACTAAACATCCGGCACTTTTATTATAATTATTTTAATTGAAAAGTACGAAGTATAAATAAATAATTATACCATGTTAGAATTGAAGTATATTAAAACTATTCGAAAAAAAGAAAAACGCTAAAAAATATTTCATAATGGTTTATTATTTCCAAAAAATTATACATTTAAAGTAACATTACCTTCCTAGTGACAAAGAA